GACTTCCAAAAAGAAATGTACAGGTAAGATTTTTGATACCTAATTTTGAATGTTAAATCATTTTTTTTTCATTTAATTGTTATTCGTATTAAAATATATAAATTTAACAAACTGATAACTAATTTTTCGTTTCCTCTTCATTTTTTTTTCAGATACTGCCATTCTGACGTCGACATATTCCAATGGTATAGCCTTCAGTTCAGGGACGAGTTTATTTCCGTTTGTAACACTGACCCCTTTAATTACACCACCATATATATATGACTATATACAGGAGTAAGTTTATCACTCCACCAATCATTACTACAATACATCAAGATCAACTTTCAATACACCATGAAAGATGGATCCTGCAGGGAACGAAACACCATCTACGAGTTTCACGGGTGTTACTATCACAGATGTCATATGTTGTAACGTCTAAAATGAACACGCCGCTTCAATCAGGACTCAACAACGAATAAGAATTTATTCAACAATAACAACAATTAGAAATATATTCACACTTACTAAAACATAGTTAACAAACAACTGCCCAGCCAGGGCTTCAGACGAATATTAATAAACAATATATCAGGAAAAATAAAATTTGCTACCTCTCAAGGTGTTAACAGAATAGATGCATTCTGTGGGGAACGAAACACCATCTACGAGTTCTACTGGTGCAACTATCACGGATGTCACAGGTGTTAACAGAATAGATGCATTCTGTGGGGAACGAAACACCATCTACGAGTTCTACTGTTGCACCTATCACGGATGTCACAGGTGTTAACAGAATAGATACATTCTGTGGGGAACGAAACACCATCTACGAGTTCTACTGTTGCAACTATCACAGATGTCACAGGTGTTAACAGAGTAGATAGACTGTGCAAGGAATGAAACACCGTCTACGAATTTTGCTGGTTTTACTATCACAGATATCACAGGTGTTAATTAGCAGAATAGATTGATTCTGCAAAGAAAACAACACCATTTACGAGTTTCACGGGTGTTATTTTTGTGGATGTCATCGGTGTTACGACTTGGATAACTCACCAACGGGGGGTAATAAGAAGTCGTACCCAGAAGAGACAACGACAACTTGAAGCTCTCAGTTACCAAACTGTCAATATCTGGGAACGCGAATTTAACACAGTGAAGAAAAGTAATGTTGGTTTACGGTATTTTCTTACAGACCATGAAATAATTCTTCATGTCCACGTCCATGAAACATTCTATGGAGGCCACCAGACTCTTGTATGGCATAAAGGACATCGAACACGGTAAGTACATCGACATTTCTGATATAAATTCAGATTTTGGATATGTAAAATGTAAATTATTGTCTATCAACAGTTTTACCTTTAAGAAGTAAATTGGTAAATTTTTCTATATGTAAAACATATGTAATAGAGAGATTATCACCCCCTTGATCGAGCTTTTATTGGAATCTTGGAGATAGAGAAAGTTAAGAAAGCTCTTAAATGTTATTACCAGATAATCAAAATTTACCAAACTTATCCTGCTACATCTTCTAACCTTTTCTTAAGCTATATAATATAGATACATTTTTAAAACTTGAGCAGGAAAGTTCAGAATGGCCCTCACACTGTAACACATCAGGATGATAAAAAAGTATACGTCTGGTGTCTAGATCGTCAGGCAGGCGGTAGCACTGTCTATGTAGGAATGGCTCAGCCTGTTCATCGAAATGGTATTTTTAGATATCTCCTTGATAGGTTATCATAACTTTACAATACTATATAGGGTTTTCTTTTATAACAATATTTTATTTAATGACTGAGTCACAAGTTTTGGGAATGTCTGTAAATATCAAAGTTTGAATCTCTTGTTCTTCTCTCTTCTACTTCTTTTTTATTACATGATAACTTAAAAAACAAAACTGAGGTGATATAGTTTCCAACGGAGTATCCGCTTTTATAAGTATTATTAACAAGTAGTAGTAGTCATTATGTTAAAAAAATTGAAATTCTAGTGATATCATTACCCCTTGAAGTTGGCTTACTTATTATAATAGCACAGGCATACAGTGTAGTAGAATATTAAAAGACAAAAAATAGGATAAATTAAACTCAGTTGTAATGGAATAGTTATATATATATATATATATATATATTGCTATATGATAATTCTTTCCTGTGTTACTTTGTAGTAATGATGCAAATGTCATATCTACTATACTGTTTGCATTGTTTTTAAATGATTGATATTAACTATACCCTCATTTACTTCCTTGTTTTGAAAAGTATTTACTCTACTTGTTTGCTTGTTTTATGTAATGCAGTGTTTCAATAGACATAGGAAGGTTGTACTTATAACAAACTTATAAGGTTGTACTTATAAATACAACAAGGTTCCAACTGTAACGTTTATTGTTTATCTATTATTGGCTGGTAATTCCTGTTTTACCCTGTACTTAAGCTTTCTAAAGGAATACCAAATTTTTAATAATAATAAATCGAAACGACAGCAAAATTGATCAAAATGTTTTAATAGCTTCATTATTGATAACACAAAATGTTTATACTTATACACTTTAATTTTATTTGAACATACGATTTGATATTTAATTCACTTTTACATAATGGACAAAAAGTTGTAACGGTAACTGGTCGTCGTTCATAAGGCTAACATCTGTAGTAATCATAGATGAATCACACATTAAGGTATAACTCTTTAATAGACGATATATGGATCAATTGAGTTTTATAACTCAATGCCCACAAAATGAGTTTACACATAGCTTGGACATAGATCCTCCTTCAGGATTATTATCTATGCAAGTAAAGATAAAACTTTTCAAAAACGAGGTAAATGTAGGGATGGCTAATATCAGTCCTTCAAAAACACTGCAAATAAAATAGTAGGGATGGCATTTGCATTATTCATACCCGCATAAAGGCAATAGTGTAAACTAGACATTATGTTTTCAGTAGTTCCTGAATAACATACAACATTAGTAATATGTTAGAACTTGTTAAAACATACATACACTTCTTTGAACCTTAAAACTGGTGAATCATGACATGAGCCTCTCGACGGATATTTTGTTTGGATATTTGTTTTGAATTTCGGGCAAAGCTACACGAGGGCTATCTGCGCTAGCCGTACCTAATTTAGCAGTGTAAGATCAGAGGGAAGGCAGCTAGTCATCACCGCCCACTGCCAACTCTTGGGCTACTCTTTTACCAACGAATAGTGGGATTGTCCGTCACATTATAACGCCCCCACGGCTGAAAGGGCGAGCATGTTTGATGTGACGGGGATTCGAACTCGCGAGTCGAGCGCCCTAACCACCTGGCCATGCCGGACCTCCTCTCGACCGATTAGTATCAAAATGTGTTCAATCATTAGACATGACTAGTGATCGTGAAGATCATGTAGACATTGTTCATTTGTTCAATCGAACTGAACACACAAGGTTTTTTATGTCCTAGATTAGCATATAAATAAAAATAACTTGCGTTGTAACCATGGGTACCAAATGCATGATATGTTCGGGCAACTTACGAAATGAAAAAGAATTTTA